ACCATCATGGCTGACTTGGTTAAAAATAGAACATAGGGGTAAAATGCAGTTTTTTTGGTTTATATCTCTAAAACTAAAGCATTTAGAGCAAATCTGACAGGTGGCAAAAATGTTCATCAGATTTAGATTTATCTGCCCTGAAATTTTCAGACGAATCCGACAACCTGTTAGTAATTTTACAAAAATTTTGCAGTTTTTTGTTATTATCTTAGATATCATTATAATATCTAATATCTACCGTAATACTATTAATTATGATTTTAACCTTATTTTACATGATTTCCAAAGCATCAGGGAATACAGGTGAGCCACACAGGCTCTTGAGAGCCTCTAGTTCTCAATTTAATTGATTAACATCTAATATCAAAATAAATGAAATAAGTGAGGAAAAAGGGGCAAAACAATACTTTTTTGATACTTTGTATAAATTGCTTATTTCTTGACCAACTTCAATAGGGTTTAATTCAAAGTCTTGAATTCTTTGGGTTCTTTAATATGCTGAATCTAACTGTGTATTTAGATTTTAGATTTTGTGCCCCCTTTTACATTGAGGTCCAATGGTCTAAAATTAAACTTTGTTTGATTTCATCTAAAATTGAATTATTGGTGTTCGATATGCAAAATCTAGCCATATATATAGATTTTTAATTTTGGGCCCCATTTTCAAATTGGTCCATATCAAAGTCCAAAGGGTCAAAAATTAAAACTTTGTTTGATGTCAACAAAAATTGAATTCTTGGGGTTTTTTGATATGCTCAATCTAGCCATGTATTTAGAATTTTTAGAAAGTTCTGTCGAATATAAACTTGGATTTAGATTTTTAGCCTGGTTTTCTAGTTGGTCCAAAACTTAACTTTGTTTGATTTCAAAGAAAAATAAATATATATGGAATTGTTTGATATGATGAATCTAATAGTGTATTTCAATTTTGGATTTTGGACCCTGTTATCAAATTGGTCCACATTGAGGTCCAAATGTTCAGAAATTAAACTTTGTTTGATTTCATCAAAAATTGAAATCTTTGGGTTCTTTGATATGCTGAATCTAACCATGTATTGAGATTTTGGATATTGGACTATAATAGGAAAATGTCCAATTTCAAATTTTTTAGTTCTTAGACCACATTCATTCTGTGTCAGAAACCTATCGTGTCAGATATTTAATAACAATCCAAATTCAGAGCTGGATCAAGCTTGATTGTTGTGTCCATACTTGCCCAACTGTTCAGAGATAGATCTCTGCCGTTGTATCAAGCTGTGCCCTGCCGAGCACTGTATTCATTGGTGATAATGGCATGAAATATTTGTATACAGCTTTATATTTCAGATGGTAAAATATCTGGATACTTCGTACCTTGTATTTCAATGTCTTATGTTCTGAAGTATAAAAATAAGAAGATGTGGAATGATTGCCAATGAGACAACTGTCCACCAGAGTACAAATGAAGTGGATGTAAGCAATTATAGGCCACCATACAGCCTTCAAAATGAGAAAAACCCATACCCTATAGTCGTCTATAATGGCCCTGACATGAAAAATGGTCATTGTCCTTGATGAAATCAGCTCTTTCGTTAGAATAGTTGGATATGGAGCTAAAAAAGGGAAAGGGAGGGGGGAATAACTGGGCTCAAGTAAGTCCTGAGTGAGTTGGTCTTATCACCTCTAATAACTGTGCTCTCATTTCAGATAAATCCTGAATTAGGAGGCTTTTAGGTCATCAGTGAAAAATAACTGGGCTCCCATTCCAATTTAGTCCTGAGTGAGTGAATCTTAGGACTAATCAATAAAAAATAACAGTGCTCCCATTCCAATGTAGTCCTGAGTGAGTGAGTCTGAGGTCTAATCGGTCAAAAATAATTGGGCTCCCATTCCAAGTAAGTCCTGAGTGAGTGAGTCTTATCAGGTCTAATTGGTAAAACAACTGCAAATTAAGAAATCTTAAGGGAAAGAATCATGATAAAGGATAAACCATAAAAGAAGGAGTCTGCAATACATATCAAACAGTGGCAGAATGGTCTAAGTAGTTCATCTAGTGTACTACTAGCCTGTCAACACAGAGGTTGTGAGTTCCCACACGTGGCAGGTGCTTTTAACTTCAATCTTAATTGTCTACGGATTACCAGTTTTCCTGCCAAAGGTCACGATTATCTCTTGCGACTCAGGCTTCCTCCACCAATAAAAACTGGACATCACAAAACAGCCAATAAGTTCTGAAAGTGGTGTTAAAACACCAAAAATCAATTAGACAGTGCTAAGTCATCTCTAGGTGTTTTCTTGATCCTGTTGTAAGATATTAGCTTTTCTGTACATTGTTTTAAGATAAAGAACAGCAATGAAAGTAATGTCTGTTAACTTATCTGTCATTTCTTAGTATTTACCATTTTTTCTTAGACTCTTACAAATTCGTTTGGATGAAATTGGGGGATAATCTATTATTCATCAAACTGATTATTTTCAAAGTCATTGTCACGTTTTTTGTTTTCACTTTTGCAGTTTTGCAGTTCAAAAATTAAATTCAATGGTTGTTACTTGAGAAGTTCTCATATATCACTTTTGTTACAAGACGTTTGTTTTCCCCCTCTTTATAAAGTCAAAATAATTCCTCTTCTGATTTATATCTTTAGACCGTAATAGTACATTTTCAACTGGTAAACAATGGGACCATGTGCTATATATGGAAAGTTAATTAGTGTGATTGGATAACAATATCCCATGACATATATGTTGGTCAAGAGAACCAAAGACTAATGCCGCCATTTCGCCACGATCTAGAATGATAAATTCCCTTGTCATTTTAGAAGATTACATCATATATCTGATTGGATTAAATCACAACAGAAACCGATTAGGATAATTTTATTAACTATTAAGTTTCCTATCATTCTTTGGTATGATGAATTGTTATTTTCGCTACATTAATTTAATTTCAATTCCAGACTCTTGCTTTATAAAAGACAAGATTATCGGGATGAGAAAAATCCATATCTTTCTCTTGGTCAGAATAGTAGGAGTAAAATACCTACTTAACCCTTAACCATCGCTATAGTCATTAGTAGTTGTCAAAAAAATCATTTACCAAAAATGACTTTATCCCTGGCCCTTCCATTTATGAATGACATTAGTAAATTACCAGAAATATAAAATTTTCAGTTCTCCAAAGGGGGAGGAGCTTAAGTTGGTGGATTACTACAAATTCACGATTTATCTCTGATTTTGGTTATATGCTTGTTTGATATTCAGTTTTCCATTTCTGTTGCCAATATTAGTAGTATTGGTATTTGTCAAGTTGTATGAAACATTTTATTTAGGATAATTGATAATTAAGAATGGAAATTAAAATGGATATGTCTGGCCTGGATAAAATGGAAAGGGAATTTGATTTTAGAAAACCTAAATTTTCTGATGATGTAAGTTTTTAAATTAAATTACATGTTCAGATTTTTTAATTTCAAAAGTCAAAAGTACAAATTTCCTGATTATGAATATTTACAAAAATAAATCAGTTGCATTTTCACTAATGTCTTATTTTATGAAGACCTTGAATTTTATTTTGAATTGGTTTAAAAAAGCAAACTTGTAGCAGATATATCTTTGCTTATATGCTGAAACTTTTTTGAAATTGTAGGGGTCCCAGGCCCTTGTGGGGTTTTTAATGAAGTGACTTAACCGCAGGCCTATTACTTTGATATGATCCGATAACAGTCCAAAACATTGAACGATTATCTGAATACAAGCAACACAAGTGACAAATTTATGAGTACTACATTCCCCAAAGAAGGGCCTCATTCTAATTTGTAAATTGTCTTGATCAGGATAGATCTAAGAAATAAGAAAAGCCAGCAGTATATTCTGATATTTTAAGCCTCTTTGTTGTAATACTTTATTACAGCTGATGCTTCTTTATGGGGTATCTCCTTATGACAGAGATGTAGGTCTGACCACACATACAAAATAAAAATTAGAAAAATGTTGCCAGTTGTTTTTCGCTATTTAATATTTTCTCAGATCAATGTTTTTGATATCCACGCTATTGATATTATTTTGTTTGTTTAGACTGTTTCAAGTACACTACTTTCAGTTAGTCTTTATTATTGTGACAATGCGACTGTGCAGCGAAACTCATTTAGATCCGTCGTTGTCATTTTATTTGCTTATCTACCTCTATTTTTATGTTATTGTTTGTTTCGTTCAGTTAATATCTTCAGAATACTAGTGGATGGTACTGTTCATGGGTTAAAGGATTTTTACACAAAGGTTTATTAGAGTTACCTGAAATGCCGAGATATTGTGTGCATAGTACATCAAACAATATTCTCAAAATACACTCAGAAATAACCATATATCGCTAGAAATAATTCTAATATTGCAATTCTGGATTTTGATAGTTTCAGAGATGAAAGAAATCAACATTTAATAAGCAATATAAAGCCACTCATTACAGCATAGACTTGTGTTGTATTATTAATAATTGACAGTTACAAATATTGAAGTTAAATAATGAATAACAGAAAGCAAAAAAAAAACAACACAAAAATATCTTGTTTATTTAGCATCATGGTATGCAATGAATGATAATTTAACATGCAACTATAGAGAATTTAAATTAAAATTGTATCAAAGTAAAATATGATGCTAAAGGTTGAGGAGAGAACACTATATCTGGATTCACATGATCAAGGCTACGATACTGTAGGGTTTTCTTTAGTCTCAATACAGACCTCTTCAAAAAGGGTAAATACACTTCATCTTCAATGTAGATCACTGATTTGTGATGACATTTGCCACTTACCTACTCAAGATCTGTACTGAAACCTTAATTGGAAGTCTGTTTTCTTCACCACTTACTGACAAAAATGAAAATAAACAAATTGAATAGAAAGTGGACTTCAACCCATCAGTCACACACTAGATAGTGATAGAATTGTAAAGTAGCCTCACACTGCTGCTGTGCTATCTATCATCTATCATCTGTATTTTCATATATTGTTTGTTTATTTCAGGTTGTGCCAAAGGACTACAAAACCATGGCAGCATTGTCAAAAGCTATCGGCAAAAATGTTCTCTTTTCTCATTTAGATGATAATGAAAGAAGGTGAGTAGTAAAGTATACATGATCTTTCCACTGACGCTTGACGCCTCAAATATCTTTGGGTCACAATATCCCATGAAGTGTTTCCCCTGAATGACCCCAGAAAAACTGGGGCAGTTCATTCATATAATAGAAACTGGAATCTCTTGTATTGAAAATTGACAAAAAAATGTGTTATGGGTTTTGCTCATTGTTGAAGGCTTTACAGTAACCTTTAGTTGCTACGTAGCATCTATGTCATTTGATCTCTGGTGGAGAGTTGTCTCATTGACAATCATACCACATATTCTTATTTTATTAGAATGTTTGTCTCAAACTATTATAAATGAGTGTGGTTAACACATTATAATGTGTATGTTTTATGTCTAAAAGACCTAATAACTGAAATCCCATTTGATAGTGAGACCAATTTCTAAGGCAGAATGCTCAGTTTGGCTTTGCGGAATGTATAAATATGTAGCAACTCTGATTTCAATGGGAGATGTTAAGCCTGGTGCCACTAGTTTGGAGAGTGTTCCTTTCTATCTACATAAAACAAGCATGTAATTACTGTTTGAGGGGTCTGTAGATGACCTTATTGCAGGGCAAATATTCTTCCCCAGCTAACAAACATACCCTCTTTATCCTGTCCTCATCCCTCTCAACCAAGTTAGCAGGACCTATATTATTGATTAGTTGGTTAGTTTGTTAATCGTCCTAAATATGCATGCACCTGTCCTAAGTCAGGAGCCTGTTGTACAGTGGTTGTCGTTTGTTGGTGTGGTTCATAAGTGTTTCTCGTTTCTCGTTTTTTCTATAGATTAGACCGTTGGTTTTCCTGTTTGAATTGTTTTACACTAGTCATTTTTGGGGCCCTTTATAGCTTGCTGTTCGGTGTGAGCCAAGGTTCCGTGTTCAAGGCCGTACTTTGACCTATAATTGTTTACTTTTTACACATTGTGACTTGGATGGATAGATGTCTCATTGGCACTCATACCACATCTTCTTATTTATATGAACTGTTTACCCCTACACATGATAGCAGACAATCAATTAATGAGGGTAGGAATGCCCTTTATTGTCAAGCATCAAACGTCCATTTTTCACTACCATGAGCGTCAAATGAGCCTAAATTTTTTATCATCATTTGTCAAATCTCATTTTGTAGCTAACCATTAGCGTCAAATGGAGTAAAATGTTTATCCTTAATGTTATTTGATGGAATATGTTACTGTCATTCATCATGTAGGGTACCCCATTCCTACCCTCATTAATGTATGGCGGACAATTCCTTAAAGGGATATAATCAAAATACATTCAAGTTATACATAAGGAAAAACTCACTGATGAGCATAAACCCACTGGAGAGATGGGATAGGCTATCTTATTCAATGCCAACTTTTTGAAATGTACAAGTAGAGGTAGTTTTTTTTACCAAGACCTTTTATGGTTATAATCTGTGACTTTTATCACAAAAAAACTTGTTAGTCTTAATAATACTTATAATGTCATGAACATTTTAATGTAGAACTTTGTATATGTGACTGTCCCAAGTGAGGAGCCTATAATTCAGTGGTTGTCGTTCATTATTTTTTACACAAATCAGGCTGTTAGTTTTCTCGTTTTAATTGTTTAACATTTGTCATTTCGAGGCCTTTTATAGTTGACTATGCGGTATGGGTTTTGCTCATTGTTGGAGGCCGTTCAGTGACCTATAGTTGATAACTTCTATGTCATTTGGTCGCTGATGGAGAGTTGTCTCATTGGCAATTATAGCACATCTTCTTATCTTTATATTGAAATGTAAGAGTTTTTGCAAGAAAAATAACAAAACATTATAACCATTGAGTTAGGGCAAGACGGTAGAATTTGTGACATGAATATAAGTATGCATCTTTAAATTAAAGTAAAGTTCAATTTGGTACACCTAAGAACTGCCATGAGCCCGTATTTACCATGTCTGATTTGGCAACAACTCTTAAATGCCACTGCATTTGACATTTGATATGACAAATGACCCAGGGCATTCAGTACTCAACTCCCAGAGCTAGCCGTCAAATTTTCTTGCAAACGACTATTTACAGAAGGATTAATGAAATATTAATCATACTGTAAACGAATGTTTGTAAAAAAAATTGTTAGTTTGAACTGATGGTTGTTTATCTGAAATAATATTTCTCTCTTATTTAACTTGATTTTGAGGTTCCTTACGAATAAAGAGATGCTGGTTACACATCAATGAGACACCAACCTAACAACACGAAACACCAAAAGACAGATCTACATTTCAACACACACTCTTCAATAATAGACATGTTATTTTTGAATTTTTGTTTGTTTGTAGTAAGTTATAAGATTCAAAATTTTAAAAATTAAATTAAATTCTTTACTGTGTAAATTATTTTTTACAGAGTTATAAAATTTTCTTTAATTCTGGGACCTTGACCATAGTAAATAAAAAAAAATAAAATTGAGATCCCACCATAGTTTATCTGAATCCACTGAATCTAAGATTGATTGATTGATTGTTGCTTGCATAACATTCAGAGATATCATTCTAAGATACAGAGCCTGAAACAGAACATGATACATTGAAAGCATTTCAATCATAGAATAAAAACCTATATCTCTGTAACATCAGGATTTAAAATAATGACTTTAAGTAGAAGAGACTATTTTATTAGAATTGAAATATGAATGTTTGAATTTGAGTACCTCTAGCTAGCTGTCTCAATAGTAAATAAATTTAGATACTAGTACTTCTTTGGTGGCACATATGTATATGCCCTTCACTATGGCACATATGTATATTGGCAGCCACTGTAGCACATATGCATATGATTGGCTCATATACAGGTGTGCCACATGTGTGCCACAGATGCATTCTCTACAGAAAGACACAATTTTGTGACATCACCCTCAAAGTTTCATACTGGACTTGTACTCTTAATTCTTGTCATTTCTTAAGGCTTAAAACCACTTCTTTTAAATGTAGCAAGAATGAAGATAATTTGATTTGAAATAATTATTAGTATACAATTGCATTTTATAAGGGTATTTAAAATGTCACAGACGTAATGACAACAAAAAGAAAATTTAAATTAAAACAAATTCTTCAATTTTAACACATAAAATATTAGTAAAACTTTGTTCAATTCTAAATGTCAAGAAAATTATATTCGAAGGAGTCTGCAAGTCAGTTCGATCTCATTATAATCACATTTGACATCCAAAAATAATGGTTTTAATTTACCCTTTAGGCTATATCAACTTCAGAATTAAGATTAAAAGGACAATTATATAAAATTTAATTTAAAAAAAACTTAATATTTGTCATCTAATTTGATGTTGACATTAGAACAGAAGTGATGATGATGTGATGTTTATATTTATAACAGATGTAAGGGAAAAAGATAAGCAGAGGCTCAGTTACCTAGACTTTTAAAGTTTATTCTTATGTCAATGTATGTTGTACTGTTATACATCACTGTCCAAGGTTAGGGGGAGTGTTGAGCGCTCACATACATGTTTAAGCTCGCAATATTCTGTATGTGCCTGTCCCAAGTCAGGAACATGTTATTCAGTGGTTGCTGTTGATTCATTTCTGTTAAATTTGTTTTACTTAGATTGTATTGTTATAAATTAGTCTGTTAGTTTTCTCAAATGAATTGTTACACATTTTTTATTCTGGGCCTTTTATAGCTGACTATTCAGTATGGGGTTTTCTCATCATTCAAGGCCTTACAGTGACCTATAATTGCTTACATCTTCATCATTTGAACTCTGGTGAATTATTAAGTTGTCTCATTGGCAATCATACCACATCTCCTCATTTTAATATAGGATTCCTAATTTTAGCAAAAAATTTTCATATTGCTGTTATCAATCTCTTAAAATGTGGTACATTGGGACCATAATGGAAATACTATTTTTCCTAGACACGATGATGTTGCAATGATTGACATCAATTTGTCTGCAACACATTTATAGTGGAACACAGTTGTCCTGATATGTCATGGTAGAGCTTTGTTGATTAAATTATCTCTTCAGAAATATTCATGTTTCTAAAATATATCAACATGTGATTATTGAGTCCATTTTCCACTTTCATAACTTTGTCATTCATCACCATACTGGATAAAACTTGCTTAAAGGTTCCAATAAATAAGCTTCTATGAAATTCTATGTTAATAATTGTTGTAATTGTTCACATTTCTCTATATTCCAAGTCATCATAAGTTGTCAGTAAGATAGACATATGAGTTGACCTGAAATTATGTATTGAATATTTGCTGCTTGACATCAAGAAAATAATAATATAACCAGAGAAAAGCATTGCATATTGGTGGGAGAACTGCACAAATTAAAGAGACTTTTAAGAATAATTTAGTTATCAAAATATTTTCTCAATGTTAACACTGGTGAAAAAATCTTAAAGATAAAGCACCAATGTTTACCAAGTATGACAATTATGATTGTAATAATGGTGTAAGTTTCCTTTGAAGTCCATCTCATAATTGGCACTTGATTTGCTACTCCCTAGAATACACCTATAAAAGAGAATTAGATATAAGATGCAATTTTGGACATAATGAGATATATTGACAACAAGAAAAAACAATTTGGTTTTCCAAAATATTCTAAGCAATTTATGGCATTACTGAATCTAACTTTAAGTCCACAATCACAAGTTTGTAATAAGTTTAAATCCTCTTTCCTGATATTTTTAAAACATAAAAACAAGTAATGAAACCGTAATTTGCATTTTATTCTTTGATATGTTTTGAAACATTAAATGCAATTACTACATCTTTATCATTTGACATGGAATGGTAAAAAAAAATATGAAGATTTTATCGCCCACAGAAATCTTGGAAGTAATTTTGATGATTATAATTACATAACCCATTTAACTTCAGTTTATGCGTGTAAAGATGTGTTCCATTAACATTCATTGAATCTTTTGAAATATCTTACAATAAAGCAAAATTGCAAAACTTAATTGATTTAAATTCTTAGAGAAAATTCAGTTTATTGACAGTACATTTACTTTTATAAGAAATTGAGAATAAATCTGAAATTGTATGTTTATTGCTTTACAGATCAAAGTCTCTTTTTAAAATAATGATGAGGTACTTAAAATCAGATATGCTAGATATGGTTAGTGAGATTAATTTATCAATTTTTTACCAATTGGTTCATCAAGATTCAGTAAATTTATATAGCATTTTTTCACTATTTTGTTTAAGACAATAGAAAAAATGCAGTATTTTTGGTTGACATACCCTCTAATTTTAAGTCTAATAATAAAGGTTTTATCCTATTCAATCTGTAAGCCAAATAATTTTTACATGTCACAAATTACTGTATAAAATGTCTGAACTACCGGTACTTGTTAGAATTTGAAAACCAAGCACTGTAATTGAAAACATTTTTTTTTACCCTTTAATGTGCATTATGTACAAAAACATTGATCAAGATTTTGATGAACAGTCATAAAACAGTTTTAAAGACACATTTCTGATAGATTTATTCTGCTCTTTGGTCAGGTTGTTGTCTCTTTGACACATTCCCCATTTCCATTCTCAATTTTATTTTCAAGCCATTACACTCATACATAAAATTTTTGGAAAAATGGAATAAAAAATGGAACTTCCAGCTTTCAGTACAGGAAACAAATGATCAAAATTAAAGTTCAGACCAAAGTATACATAATTGTTCCTCTTGTTTATTACAGTGATCAGACCAAAGTATACATAATTGTTCCTCTTGTTTATTACAGTGATCAGACCAAAGTATACATGATTGTTCCTCTTGTTTATTACAGTGATCAGACCAAAGTATACATAATTGTTCCTCTTGTTTATTACAGTGATCAGACCAAAGTATACATGATTGTTCCTCTTGTTTATTACAGTGATCAGACCAAAGTATACATGATTGTTCCTCTTGTTTATTACAGTGATCAGACCAAAGTATACATAATTGTTCCTCTTGTTTATTACAGTGATCAGACCAAAGTATACATGATTGTTCCTCTTGTTTATTACAGTGATCAGAACAAAGTAGACATAATTGTTCCTCTTGTTTATTACAGTAATCAGACCAAAGTATACATAATTGTTCCTCTTGTTTATTACAGCGATATTTTCGATGCCATGTTTCCAGTGCACAGACATTCAGGGGAGGTCATTATACTGCAAGGTAAATATCTATTATAACACAAAAGGACAGAAGTACATTCCAAATAGCAACCCAATGACACTAATATCAGACATCTAGAGGCCAAGTATACACTATCTTCTACATTATACAGGTCTATACAATATACCTTGTTCCTTATATTTCCTAATAAAAGGTTAACGGTAACAGCCCTTACCTCATTAATATGCCTTGTTCCTTACATTTCCTAATGAAGGGTTATGTCCCTTACCTCATTACGTCAAAATGTGCAAGGAACCTGGAACAAAACCATTCACAAGAGTAGATAAGTTCAGATAAGTTCAAATATTAAGGAATATTTACTAAACAAAATTAAAACCTCCCAAAAATTTTATATATAGAAAAAGGGGGGTCTATTCCTCAAGGGCATGTGTTCTGAATTGCCACGACTTTTATGTGCACCATAGATTCTATTTAGGGCTTGGGGATTTAATGGTCATATCCTGCACTGTCATACAATGTATCACAAATTGTTTAATATATTAAAAAGCAGTTAAGATTCCCACCCATTTATACCATTAATATTCTAATTTGCCATGACAATTCCTTTCTAGGACTATAATGTGTTAATGTTCAATCTTTTCTATAATGGAGTGACTTCTTTTGATGAAGAACAGATATTAGCTATAATGCACTAAAGCAGCTTCATCCTAATTTTTTATTTAACCCAGTTTTTTTCATCAAACTGACTAAAAAATCAATAGAAGACAGAATATTGTAATTATATAAGTAACATTAGTACAATAGAATTATAGTATAAAAGTGCTTTGAAGTAGGAGTTTGCCTGTGGAAACATATGGCTTTGTATTTCCATTTCAGTTCGTTAACAAATAAATTATTCATTTAGTGTTAAGATAGGTTTTCATGAAAAGTAGATGTGAGGAGACAACGAGATATCAATTGGTTTGACAAGACATCAGCTGGTTAATTTTCCTTCCTTACCAGCCTGCTAACAATACAGATCTTGATTAATTGGCCATTTGATAAATTTGTGGTGTCTAGAGTTGGTGCTTTGGTACCTTGGGTAATGTACTTAATGTACTGGATATTTGCTAAACAGAATATTTGTTTTACCTAATTTATAGAGGAAATTTTAAAATATTAAATGAGAAAAGATGAATTCCTGTAGAATTGTTGAAATTGGCTTAAGCATGCATTTAAATTAGAATACTGTAAATTCAGAAATTATTGTGAGGTTTTTATTAATGCGAATAATGCAAGTGGATTAAGATCGCAATAATAAGAACTCGCATTTTGATATCTGATACTTATATCAGTGTATACATATTTTCCTGAAATTGCAATAGTTAAACTCACATTTTTGTCTTTTCTTCAAAAATCACAATAATAAATGCACACAATAATTTCTGAATTTACAGTCATATTTTTTTTATACTTTAAGCCAGAAACTACAAAGTCAAATATGTATGAACAAATGATTTTATAAACACAAATGTAGATCACAGGATGTTTTTTTTAACTATATTCAACAAACTTTTGAAACTGTATTCAACAAGATGATATTCTTATGCCAGTCCAAGTTGTTATCTGTTGTTTTCTTTTTTCTTTTGGGGAATTAGGTGTTGATTACTGATCTTCGATGGTCTTTGTGATATTAATTCACTGCTATTTTATACTCTATGCAATTAAGAACATGACATATATTGGATAGACTCCTACCTTGCGTTGAAGACTTTATGGTGATCTCTAGATGATATTTGTTGTTGTTTTTTTGTGTTGTCAGATTGAGCTGACTAATTGATTTATAACTGACATCTCGGATTTTTAATTAAGAATTGAAAGTTTTTTTTTTTTTTTTGTAATTTTATAAGGTTGTTTAGCGTTGAACTGTGCTCACGTTTTTAGTGTAACGTTTTTAGCTGTAACACCCTATAAAATTACAAAAAAAAGTATTCAATTCTTAATTAAAAAACTGAGATGTCAGGTATAATACAATTAGTCAGCTCTTATACATGTAATTACATTTTTTTTTTTTGCTACAACAATAAATTATGAGTTAAATCAAGCCTTTAAGTTTATTTTTCTTTGCATTATTTAATCATTGTCACAGAGAGCACATTCAGTAATAGATGTTGCATCTTAGAGGGAAATAAAAAGCAAGTTTTGGAATGCTTTGTTTCGCATATGAAATATCTACGTAATGAATAATAGATTAATGAATATAGTAAAATGTCAAATGAGGAAAACAAACAATTTTCATCTTATACTTATAATCCACATTGAGGACTCTCTTGGCTATGATCCACAGGGGGGGGGGGGGGGATGGGGTCTCAACATGGGGTTTTGGGTACAGTTGTGCAGCTGGGATTTAAAAAACACCCCCCATTCATATATTGAATAATTGTGAAATCCCTACCTATACATATATTTCACAGCGAAATCATAACCCATTCAGTGAAGATCGTTGCACAACAAACTGAAAAGTTATGACCCATTGATATATCACAATTGGTCAATTACTACCTATAGATATATTTCCTCTAAAATTGCACCCCATTGATATATTTGACGTATCAAAAAAGGGACCCATTCCAGCAGCACATATGTGTATACCCCGTGCTATAATCATAAACAAAATATAGTTGGTTAATTGTTGAATACTGTATTCACTTTCAGTAGATATCTGTCATTTTTACGCGTCTCAGGTTGCAGTCTCATTGATGTATACCCTTTATCTCTTTTATTCACATGTAAAACTTAAAATAACCAATACAAGTAGGTTTGAACTTTAACCAACTTAAGAGGGGAATGACACGCTTTTGGGATGTTGGATATAAGGGGTAAAAAAGTGGGATCAAAGAAAAAGAAGACAGAAAGCTTTTCACAGCAAGCTGTTCACCTGCAGTTCTGCTCTTTTTATACGACCGCAAACAAATTTTGCGGTCGTATATTGGTATGACGTTGGCGTCGTCGTCGTTGTCAACCGTCGTCGTCGTCCGAAGACACATTGGTTTTCGCACTCTAACTTTAGTTTAAGTGAATGGATCTCTATGAAATTATACCATAAGGTTCAATACCACAAAAGGAAGGTTGGGATTGATTTTGGGGGTTATGGTACCAACAGTTAAGGAATTAGGGGCCAAAAAGGGGCCAAAAATAAGCATTTTTGTAACTTCCAGACATAACTTGTGTGTTAGTGTATGGATCTCTCTGACATTGTACCACAAGGTTTCATATCACAAAGGGAATGCTGGGATTGATTTTGGGGGTAATTGCCTCAAAATATTTAGGAATTAGGGGCCAAAAAAGGGACAAAAAACAAGCATTTTTCTAGTTTCATGACAATAACTTGTGTGTAAGTGTATGGATCTTTCTGAAATTGTACTACAAGGTTCCATATTACAAAGGGAAAGCTGGAATTGAATTTGGGGGTAATTGCCCAAAACGTTTAGGAATAAGGGGCCAAAAAGGGGCCAAAAATAAGCATTTTTCTAGTTTCCAGACAATAACTTGTGTTCAAGTGTATTATGACCAGGATCTCTCTGAAATTGTAGTGCAAGGTGCCATACCACAAAGGGAAGGCTGGGATTGATTTTGGGGGTAATTGCCTCTAATTTTTAGGAATTAGTGGCCAAAAAGGGGCAAAAAACAAGCATTTTTCTATTTTCAGGACAATAACTTGTGTGTAAGTGTATGGATCTTTATGAAATTGTACTACAAGGTTCCATATCACAAAGGGAAAGCTGGGTTTGAGTTTGGGGGTAATTGCCCTAAACGTTTAAGAATTTGGGGTCAAAAAGGGCCTAAAAACAAGCATTTTTCTAGTTTCAGGACAATAACTTGTGTGTAAGTGTATGGATCTTTATGAAATTGTACTACAAGGTTCCATATCACAAAGGGAAAGCTGGGTTTGAGTTTGGTGGTAATTGCCCTAAACGTTTAGGAATTTGGGGTCAAAAAGGGCCTAAAAACAAGCATTTTTCTAGCTTCAGGACAATAACTTGTGTGTAAGTGTATGGATCTTTATGAAATTGTACTACAAGGTTCCATATCAGAAAGGGAAAGCTGGGTTTGAGTTTGGGGGTAATTGCCCTAAACGTTTAGGAATTTGGGGCCAAAAAGGGGCCTAAAAACAAGCATTTTTCTAGATTCCAGACAATAACTTGTGTTCTAGTGTATCGATCTCTCTGAAATTGTTCTGCAAGGTACCATACCACAAAGGGAAGGCTGGGATTGAGTTTGGGGGTGATGAATCATAAGGGGGTTCAAAGAATTTGGGGGAGGGATTTTTTTTCCTTTTTTTTTCTTTAAAATTTTCCATTTTAAATTGGTTATTTCTGATTTATATATAAAAGCAAATAATAATGAAATGGTTTGAATAGGTAAATTAAAATTTTTTAAGTTCTTAGACCACATTCATTCTGTGTCAGAAACCTATGCTGTGTCAAATATTTAATCACAATCCAAATTTAGTGCTGTATCAAGCTTGAATGTTGTGACCATACTTGCCCCAACTGTTCAGGGTTTGACCTCAGCGGTCGTATCAAGCTGCGCCCAGCAGAGCATTTTATTTCATGGGTGTCATAGTTTATTGCTGCTTCTCCTTAAGTTGTTAACCCACTGTGAAAAGTGGGAAGTCGGAACAAATTACCAAAAAATATTGGGATTTGGGAAATGAGAACCCTCAACTTAGTTTACCTAATTTTGCTCAATATTCAGAAAAAAATTGAGAAAAGATTGAATTTTGAAGGAAAAAAGTTGCATGCTCAGTTATAGCAAATAAGATGAGAGGAAAGATATAAAAAGGAAGTATCATCAAGAAAGTTCCACTTTTAGTTCTTTTAAAGTACTTTCAGTAAATTAAGTCAAACTACAGCAACCTTAACTGTTGATTAACAAGTGTTTTGAAAGACATGTATAATCCATTTATAATCCTAAAATAAAATGCGGCATGGATTTATATTCGTTATTCTATTATATAAGCTTCTTGACGTGATTATTTGTAAGATAATTGAATCTTTTCTCACAGCTGAAGATAGACATTGCACTTTAAATTTATTTTCAATTCCATTATACAGCCAACAGGGAGAAAAATACTTTAGAAATTTATACTTGATTGAACAGAATGAAACGTGTTCAGAAACTTTTGAAGATAATTGGGTGTTAATGCAAGTATTAAGTCACTTTTGAAGTTAATTGGATGTTAATGCAAGTATTAAGTCACTTTTGAAGATAATTGGGTGTTAATGCAAGTATTAAGTCACTTTTGAAGATAATTGGGTGTTAAAACAAGTATCAAGTCACTCTTGAATATAGTATTTAGTCACTTTTGAAGATAATTGGATGTTAATACAAGTATTAAGTCACTTTTGAAGATAATTTGATGTTAAAACAAGTATCAAGTCACTCTTGAATATAGTATTAAGTCACTTTTGAAGATAATTTGATGTTAATACAAACATAAAGTCACTTTTAAAGATAACAGGTATTTTAATGCAAGTATTAAGTCACTTTTGAAGGTTATTGGTATTAGTATAAGTATAAAGTCACTTTTGAAGATAATTGGATGTTTACACAATGAATTATACATCACTTTTGCAACATTGATTATGAAGTTAAAGTTTTGACTTTTTCTGATTTTTTGGTCTAAAAATAGAAGTGTTAACAAGATTATAGATAAATCGTTTGCCATTGTGAAGTGCCCTTATATGAGGGTGGTTTGTTAATTTACATAAAACGATGGTTTGGAATTACAAGGTATAAGAACACATCTCGCATACTAATTGGGGGAAAACTAACACTTTTGGTTATCTTTTAAGAAAAACATCTATTTCACATCTCACATACTAATTGGGGGAAAACTAACACTTTTGGTTATCTTGTAAAAAACATCTATTTTCTGAGGAAGTAATCTAATTTAAGACGATAAATGTTATATTGCCATGTCAGCGCCAATTATTCTTGTGTTGCTAATAAAATGTTAGTTTTTCTGGTTAATGTGGAAATAGTCTGATTTCGTCAATGCTGAAAGGCGGAAAAATTGCATACCAAATAGAAATATTCCAGACACAATTACCATGTGAAGATAGAAGCATTCTGTCAAAATTAACCTTTAAATTGCATTCCTAATTTGTCAGTGATTGAATGATTTAAAAAAAAAACAGTCTTCTGGAAGCTGAAACTATAATAAATTAACTAATTAATTGTTGCTTAGACTATGCACCAATATGAAAATAGCGCTTTCAAAAACCTAATAATAACTTTTTGAAATAAAATCGAAAGTTATTGTTTCACAGATTGAATAATGACTTTAAAGTCAATTTTATTGTAAGTTTATTTTATTGCAAAATACTTTGATTAAAAAAAATTAAAAAGTATCTGAATTTATATATTGTAACATATTTTGTTGACATAAGATTTGTTTCTGAGATCATCTGAGAAGACCTTTATCTAAAAGAATTTCAATATAAATTTCAATCAGTCTATTGGAGAGATTTCAGTATATGCATTCTTGACTTGTAATATGATATTATGCCAAACAAATTAATCGTTATTCACAAATCTAAAGCATCAAAGAGATATGAATTTTATATTTGTATTAGGAGTTGCTGCATTTTGAAGTACGTTTTGCCTTTGCGTTGTTTTAATCTACCATCTCCTTTTATTCATAGTAAATTATGGGGAAGGATCATTAAAATTGTTATATATATATTGTTGACATATATTACTTGAATATATATGCTTTTAAATTTCATAATCTGTTGCTATGATAAAACTATTATTACATTACAGGTGATGAGGGTGATAATTTCTATGTTATTGACCAGGGTGAAGTAGATGTAAGTACATGTACACTTAAGTTGAATGAGGTGTATAACTTCAGCTTTATTGACCGGTGTGAAGTGTTTGTTTGTATAAAAAAACCTCATCAAAGATACCAGGTAGGCTTATAATTAATTACATCAGACACCTGCTTTCTCTACAAAGAACTCTTCAGTTGTGCACCTGCTATTATGTCATTGTTCGAGAATTTTTTTCTCATTTTTCCAGACTTGGGACTTATTCTTTTTTCAGCAAAATTTATGAAAGATAGTGCAAGTTTAATGTAATCAACTCTTCCTTCAGTTTCAACCCAGAACCCTGAAACTTCACAGGAAGATTGCACATATATTGAAGCTGTGCACCTGCTGTTATGGAATATTTTTAGGAATTTTTACATCTCATTTTTCAAATATTTAAATGTTGAGTCAAGAGCATTTGCCATTGCTTAAGAAACATTCTGTGAAAACTGGCCATTTGAGTCAATCCATTTTTATGCCCCCACCGTGGCAGAGGGGGCTTTAAGTTTTACCCTTGTCCATCTGTACGTCCATCTGTACACAATACTTATTACTACCAAACACAGATCACATTTTGTTCTCAAGTTATTTCCCTTTATAAGTGTAAAAATAGGCAAATGTTTCCGCAATCTATCTTTACTTTGCCTCTACCAAATGTGAAAAAAACTTATACAGAAAGCTTATTACCACCAAATACAGATAAAATTCCAATTAGTGGCGTCACTCTCACTGTTCTCAAGTTATATCCCTTTATGAATTAAAAACTTAAAGCTTAAATTGCCGTATATTTTGAAACTGGAGCACATTCCTCTCTTTAAGCTATATGCAATCATCTCTAGAAAATTGTGTTTGTTATAACAGACAATAAGTTCTGAGTTCTGTTTAGATTAAGGTACAATTATTTATTTCTGATCAATATATTTTTTGGTCAGGACTGTGAAATATTATTGCATTTCCTACAGCTTGTTAATTTTGTCTTGTTTTATGATTTCACTTAGAAGCTAATAGATATTATTTTTCTATGGAAATGCAGTGAAATAATAAGTAATGTTTGGTCACAAATCAGATTTCTTGTTATTGTTTATTTTTATAGCATTTTCTTCTTGTTTATGGATAATTTTCCTGGTTGATTATTAATTTTCCAGTAGTTATTGTTAATTTATGGTTCTGTTTTTATTAGTGTTTTCTCATTATTCTGCTATTTATCTGTCAGGATATAAAAACTAAATGAAATCATCATGGTCAAGGCATTTAAGACTGGAAAAAATAAATTGTTTTTAAAGGATTTATGCTAAATTGAAGCAATAAAAAACATCCTACAAGTTTCTTTATATAGCCTCTACTTCTGCATCCCTGAATCAATGTGAAGGTCAAGGTCATACTTGATAACAATGGTTGTAAGATTACCTGCAGAGGACATTTACACAAGGTCATGGGCAAAATAGAGCATAGACGGAAAAGCTTATAGGTGTAAAGGTGGTTGAGAGTTATCACACTTTTATGTATTGTCAATGACAACAAAAATCACACATGGCTAAGAGGAAAAAGTCCTTCAAAATCTTAGATATTTAATTGAGAAAAATCATTTCAGCTCCATCTGTTCTTGTACTCAATATTCCATTCAGTTTTCATCAAATTTGATCCATTGGTTGAATTTTAAAGTTTTTGTTATGCCCCCGCCGTAGCGGAGGGGGCATTAAGTTTTACCCTTGTCCATCTGTCCGTACGTCCCAAAATTGGTTTCCCTTCTCTAACTTTAGTTTGCCTCAACCAAATGTTATGAAACTTATACACAATGCTTATTACCACAAAACACAGATCAAGATTGAGTTTTGGTGGCGTCGCTTTTACCGTTCTAGAGTTATGCCCCTCTACAAATAGAAAAATTGCTGAATTTTTCATATCCGTTCTCTTACTTTAGTTTGCCTCAACCAAATGTTATGAAACTTATGCACAATGCTAACTACCACAAAACACAGATCAAGATCGAATTTTGGTAGCGTCACTTTTACCGTTCTAGAGTTATGCCCTTTTACAAATGGAAAAATTGCTGGATTTTTCGTTTCCGTTCTCTATCTTAAGTTTGCCTCAACTAAATGTTATGAAACGTATACACAATGCTTATTACCACAAAACTCAGATCAAGTACAAATTAGGGTAGAGTCACTTTTACAGTTCTTGAGTTATGTCCCTTTATAACATTATATGCAAGCAGGGGCATCATCTGTGTCCCATGGACACATTCCCAATTTATTGATAGATTAATTGTTAGCTGTTCATAAAATAGCAGGACATTTCTTACAGAATGCTATTTAGTTCTCAGGTTAAAGGTCAAGGTCACAAAAGTGGGTTTTTGAAATGATTCTCTTTCATCTAAATTATTCAATAACAGTATCAGAGGTCAAATGTTCAGAGTTTTAGTTTATAAAAAAAAATCAACTTGCATGCAATTTTCCCTTAGTATCCTAATTTGCACAAAATTTGGACATAAGGAGAAAAAAAAACAAGTTCTTAGATTAAAAGTAGAGTCTGATAGCAATGCAACAATTAAGAGAAAAATTCAGTTACAAGATGAGGACTAATGTTTTGTTGAATTTAGTTTGAGGTACTATTTTAAACATCACATATATATTGACCGATAGAACTATTCTATCACTTTATTTCTTTACAGTGAAGACCATTTATTTGTTATCCAATTTCCTTTGCAAGTGGTCTTGAGAACAAGTTCTTCACTGTTGAAGTCAAGAGATTTGCTTAAGTAGATATAAGAAGATGTGGTATGGGTGCCAATGAGACAACTCTCCATCCAAGTCAAAATTTATAAAAGTAAACCATTATAGGTCACAGTACGGTCTTCAACACGGAGCCTTGGCTCGCACCGAACAGTAAGCTATAAAGGGCCCCAAAAATTACTAGTGTAAAACCATTCAAACGGGAAAACCAACGGTCTAATCTATATAAAAAACGAGAAACAACACTTGCAATTAATCACAGAAATAACTATTGAAACAATATGAACTTCTGAAAAAAATTGACCGAATTTAAGTTGCAAGAAATTCCTTTCAGAGAAAATGCCTTTTGCTGTAACAGGTTGTGTGTTAATTGTCCATGCTCGAGGTAGCTAATTAAGGTTGTCATTTTAAAATGTTATTTACAAAAGAGTGCTTTATACGCTTTCTTAATGCCACCTTGGATGTTTATTGTACAAATTGTGCATTAACATCCTATTCTTGTGATGCTTCATTAATGACAGACAATTAGATGTTTAGGAAAATGCAGAAAACTTTGCTCCCAGATAAAAAAAAATTGTTATCTTTTCAAAAGCTTGTGTTATACATTTAAAATTGAAACTTGATTCTTTAATCAGTTTTAACATGTTGAAAATAAAAACAAACCTTTAGCTTTGAGGATTTGGAACTGTCAAATGTCTTGTTTTTAATGTTGCAAAACTCTCTTAATCCAGCATATGATGATTAAAATTTAGATAGACCTGAAGGCAAAATAACATGATCTCATTAGAGAACTTTCATTTGAGATGCCCTTGGAGCTGAAATGTAAACTGTTTTAACAATTTTGTTACTAAAGAATTGATTTCAATGAGGGAAATTGGAATTCACCTAAAAGTTTAGTTTGTTTTTATTTATAGGTTTGAAATATCTGCATTCAATTGGTTTAAAGCTATGTAACAGATTATCAGCTATCATCATTTGTTCATTTAATTATTTTGTCTTGATTTCATTCCAAGTAATAGCTTTAAAATTAAAATAGCATATTATAATTTTGGTGCTTTCGAAATACTTTTCTAGACTTACCTTCATTAAGAACGCTCAAAGCCAAAAAATTGAATCAAATTTGCATGAAATAATAGCCACTGAGTGTTAAGCAAGCAAAAATAACCCAATAAATTAAAAGTTATAAAGCGTAGGATGTATAACTACTGGAATAGGTTAGAAGCTTCATTATGACCAAAAGGTACTTAAAAAAAAATAACCAATTCATCTAAAGTTGGAACACTTGTCAATAATTTCTAAATATATCAACAGGGAATTTAAGAAAGATATATAATAAATCAAGTCAGTATAGATGCGCTGACTACTGAGTTGATGATACCCGCTTGAACTAATAATCCACCAGCAGTGGCATATATTGACCTAGTGCTTCAAAATGAAAGTAGCATTTGATAGTTTTGAAGCATCCAAAGTGCTTTTATGGAAAAGCACCACATAACATTAAATTAAAAACTACAGGAAGTGTCAGTAAGGTGCACATATTGATTTACCCCTCCTTCAAATGTTCATTTACAAACTTCAATGGAGGCTATAGATGCCAATAAAAGGAGATGTTGAAGACACTTTGTATATATCAATCAGACAGCAACCTAACGAAACAAAAACAAAAGATCCACAACATTCTTTACTGTAGGTTTACCCTCAAATAAATGTGGTATAATATACAGTAGGAAGTGGCATTATGTTATAAAGATTCTTTTCAAGTTTCATTGAAATCTGCCCTTTAATTGATGAAGTTTGCAAGACATGGACAGAGAAAAACAATCAATTAGTATATGCTTCTTCAAAAATTTTGTACATGAAAAGAAATATTGACATATTAAAAGTAAACTTGACAGGTCTGTTGTCCTGATTCAACCTTATTATTGTAACAACATGCTTGAACTATCAATGAACTTACATAAGTCAGTTGTGAGATATGTCTAAGTAAGATGATATGCTTTGTCCAACACAGGTAATCAGTTAAGAATTATTAGGATCAGTGACACTCAAATAAATCATTATGACCAGTCAAACAACTCTCATGTATGTTTTTGTAGACCAAAAATGTAAACATCATTCAAAAATGTTTAGTTTCTGAAAGTACTAGTCAATGGTGACCAACAAAGGACAATGTTTATTTTTTTTTTTTGAAAAAATTGGCCTTGAATTTCAGCTTCATCGTAAATTATCAAGAAACAACAATTTTGTTCTAAAATTGACCTATATTAAAATACTTAATCCTATATAAAACACATTTGTGATAAATCATGGAATAATTCTTACAAAACTTATTAAAGGTTACAACACAAATTATGCATAATTAGGAGTCATAACTTCGTAAATTTAAATATGAGGTGCCAAAAAGAAGATTTTTTGTATTAATAGTAATATCACAACCAATTCTATTTAAAACTTGTAGTATTTTGACCTGTCTCCAAAAAATCTTACGGACAATTTTAGCCCTTCATGAACCAACTCCTTTCCATAACTGTAGGATATTATTATCCAAGATGCTGAGTGTGATTTTTCTGACAATGAGACATGTTTTAGTGATATTTTATTAATAAGAAAAATGTTCAAAAACAGTCTTTTACAGAGTAACAGAGTATAAATTAAGATGTAGAATCTATTATTTGCTAATCACTGAGGTTTAACATTTATTTCAAAAGCTATAAATACAAAACATATATATTTATAAAACTTATTTCTTTATTCCCAAGTCTTTGTTTAAAATATAAGTAATATGAACTTTACAGAAGAAAACATATAGCAAAACGAATGTAAAGGGTCAAAGTAAACAAAAAAGGAGAATGTATAAAGTATCTTTAAGAAATGGGAAAATTGACAAAAATAGGTGTTATATAACTATGTTGCTAAATGCAGTTTAGGTTTCATGTTGAGAAAATTGCACAACACTTTCATAATATTTAATAATTTTCATTAAATTTTACACAAATTTTATCAGAACAAAATTTGTTGCCATGGAAATAACAATTTATTTGATTATTTACACCAAGATTCCATTAAATGTGATTGGATATCCTGCATTTAATATGTTTTTCCTAAACATAAGATCAAATCGCTGTAATACCTCCTAAATCATTGAAATCTATGATTTTTTATTAACCATAATATGTGCTAAAGTCCTCATGGGTGTATCTAAAACTTAAAAGCATGAAAGTATTAGACTTTTCAGCACCAACTGTATTAGCAAAAGAAGGACTTGTTTGAAGGCAAAAATTTATGGGGTTCCTTAGAGTAAATAACAACTGATTTTTATCAGATGGCTTATTTAGAATTTGAGAGAATGGAAAATTGACAAAAATAGATATTTACCATGTTTACTGTGCTGTAAAATGTAATTCAGATTTCATGTGGAGAAGATTATGCAAAATGATCATAACAATCATAATGAAGCCATTATGAAATTGATTGTTTTTCCTGTCTTCAGATATTTTGGTTGATAATTTCATGGAAACAATTCTATTTATCATTAGGAAGCCTTTGAAGAATTTTCCTTTTCATGGTTATTAAATTTTATCATGAAGTGCAGTGAAGCCATATTCAATCAAAAGTTTGAAAACATCAATAAAATGATTTTCTGTGGAGTTATGTAATAAAGAAACCACAAATTGACAGAAAGCTTTAAAGAAATTCAATTTGATAAAAATCAATGCGTAAGGGACAATTTTGATGATTTATAACGATTGTTGAAATATGACAAATTAATTCTGACATCATTTCACTTATAAGACCAACAATTTTGATGGGCTTATAATTACAAATTAGAAAACTCGGAAAACGATGGTTCATAAAATGTTTGTCAAATATCACAATTTTATATCAGACCTAATATTATGATTGCTACGCTGACTGTGTTGATGGTTAAGCAAATTGGAGGCACACTGATATTGTACTTCTCGTATGAGTTAAAATGAGAAATAACAAACATGGTGGACGCAAATCATACAGAGAAGAAATTAAAAAATCTTCAACAAATTACTAATATGGTGATGCTTTTAAAGTACACGTAAATTAGAACTTATAGACTCCTGTTATGCAATAAATTAGGAACAAATTAAATTATGAAATAATTATATATAATGATAGAGATATTTTGAAAGGTCCTTGTAAGTTTTATGAATTGATTTATTTTGTTTATTCCTTAGAAAACAAATTTTTGGGGGTGGATGTTGAGTGGAATATGTATACGTCACTATGTCTTGTTTGTCGTTAATCATTTAAGCTCATTTGACAATTTTCGTTTTCATGGTTTGATGGATTCCAATGAAACTTTGCATTAGTGTAGCTAGTATATACCGTTTAAAGCTGTGCAAAACAAAAAATTCTGATCTAACCAGATACCCTTTTGTTTTTCATTGATATGAATACAAGGAGATATGGCGCATATGTCAATGAAACAGCCAAAAAACAAAACAAAAAAAATGAGACAAGTAACCAAAAGACCTCCAGAAGTCAGCATACAGTCTTCAACAATAGGCAGGTGTCCATACAACATGTTGACCAGTCTAAAACGGTTGTGTGAATGAATTAAACAGAAAATGTGGGAGATCTCTCTCTGTATACACTGTATGCCCTAACCAGAATCTGACACTGCTGTCAGTACATAGTTTGCTAGGTCTCATATGGGGTTGATCTCATCCAGCTTTATTGCAATTTTTTATACAGAAGCAATATAAAAATTGATATGTGATGACACTTGTTCTGATATATATATATTTTTTCTGATTTTAGATATTTGTAAATGGAGTTCATGTGACAACCATTAGTGAGGGTGGTAGTTTTGGAGAGCTGGCTCTTATTTATGGAACCCCTAGAGCAGCAACAGTTAAGGTAAATATAACTTACCAAATCTTTGAAGAACAAATTTAATGCAGGTTTTGTACAATGCCAACTGATTTAGTGTTCCAAATGTCCCAAAATGAACAGTGTTTAAATTTGAATCAATTAAAAGTTTTCACAACCAAACTTAATACAAGATTACTTAATTGGAAGTGGTACACTCTATTCTAATTATTTTTTGGAGAAAGGATCCAACAGGCATGTAGAATTTGTTCACAGAAATTTAATCCAGTTTATAGTCAAATACAACCAAATGAGCGCAATTTTAAACACATTTATCAAGGTCATAGGTCAAATATCAAGGTCACCTGATTGCCTTTTGATAGGGAATGCTCCATTTAGTGTGGTTCTTTTTGGTCTTGGAAATTCTAAAAATGCAGACTGAGAAAAATCAAGTTAAACACTTGTCAAACTAAGTGGAAAAAAGTAAACAAAGTCAATGTTTGTATATATGTTACATTGTATAAGGAAATGAAATAGCTACAATAAATGCATTAGAAACACCAAAACATCCAAAAACATCATCATTATCTGTCAACAAACATGTAATAAAATATTTACAATAAAAGGTGACATGTACCTCAAAATTTTATTTCATTTTGTTACATTGATCAGAAATTGTTTCCGTCTTTACATAACAACATCCGCCCTTCTTTGGCAATAGGCTTTGTTTGTTTTCAATATAAAAGATTGTAATATCCGCCCATGCCTTATCAAACAGCGTGAAAAGGACATGAAATTGATCGAGGTTATTATGAAATTTACATCTCTAATAGAATGATTATGTCATTACAAACACACAATGTTTGCCTTCAAGATTAAACTGACATTTTCTGTAGCATCTTCATATGGAGTTTGACATAATTGTTTGTTTTTTCTTGTTATGAGAAATAAGGTTACCTGCTAAAAAAACAAATGTTATGATGTCTGTCGGCACAACAAATGTTTTTGAAATAACCTTGCAAGTACGCTCATGAACAGAAGTTTGAAAAACCCAAACTATAAAATGTTTGATCGTAAAAAAAAAACAAAAAAACAAAGGGGCTTAAAAAGAAGAGCAAAACTATATAAGGTCAACGTCAACTTTGCCAAAGGGAGACAACTTTAGCATTAGCACAATTACATTATTTATTTAAACTAGAAATTCATGTTTTATGAACAGAATTATTTCTTAGAACAAAACACTAAATTTCAATATAATGTCTGACTATCTGTTTCCCACTGGCAGTCATATTTATTAGAACAATATCTGTTATCAACAGTCAGTGACATTGACACATTTTCAAAATATAAACATGAGGTCAACTTTTGGGAATTGTCAAGGATTGTGATTCATGACTCAAGGCATACAGAACCTGCCTTTACAGAACATGTTTAGAAAAAAGTAAAATAACAAAATAACAAACTCCTAGGAAAAATTCAAATCGTCCTAAAAAGTCCTTTATCAAATGGCAAAATCAAAAGCTCAAAAGCTCAAACACATCAAACGAATGGAAAACAACTGTTATATTGGTACAGGCATTTCCTTATGTAGAAAATGGTGGATTAAACCTGGTTTTATAGCTAGCTAAACCTCTCACTTGTATGACAGTTGCATAAGATTGTATTGGAACTGTAACCAACAGATATTGACATTCTATGATAAAAGTTTGTAATTAAACCTTCTTGTTGGTTACTTCAGAGTATCTTGGGCAAAAATGACTGTCAGTGGATAGGACAGTTATTAGAGATTGTTTTCTTGTGGACTCATTTTTGTAGGTACCGTACCAATTTTCATGGTTTGAATAAAACTTGAATTTCATGAAAGTTTAATTTCATGATTTTGCCGAGGTCTGCATACATTTCAATAGAAAGTTTGTAATTCGTTGAACATTTAAATTCATGGTTCCCCTGTAAACAAATTATAATGAATAGACAGTTGTTCATATTAAAAATAGACTAATTTCCACTGACATTCATTTATTTGTTTTTGAAAAAAATGTATTAGAATGGAAGTAATTGGTATGATTGCATTAAAGATAGGTCATTTATACTTTTATGGAGAATTTATCTTGATTATGTATTTATTACTGATAGACTATTTATATTTTTACTAAAGATAGACTATTAATATTTTTACTAAAGATAGACTATTAATATTTTTACTAAAGATAGACTATTTATATTTTTACAGGCCAAAGGTGATGTAAAATTATGGGGTATTGACAGAGACAGTTACCGAAGAATACTTATGGTATGTATAACCTATTTGTTAGTCACTCTTGAAATGATTTTTTTTTCGTTTTAATAACAGCAGTTTCGTACTAAATTCTAGCTATCTTGTAAGTTTGTACAAAAGTCATAAAGGAACAGAATTCAAAAGAATTTATGAATTCCTTTTTCTATTTTTGAACCTTTTAAATTAAATTAAGTTTTAAAAATAGTAAACTTGGAAAACTTTTCATGCAGATACTCTGTATAAGGGGCAAACTGAACTCTTGGGAATTTTTTAATTATTGATAAATTGACTAGCCAAAGGAACTATTTATTGAATGATGGATCCTGTAAAGTAATATTTTTTTTCAGTTTTCTAATTTCCATTAGTTTTACAATGATTACAAATGCATAAAACAAGTACTCTAAGAAAATTGTGTTAGTCTGAGGTATTTAATCCATAATGATTAAATTACTTAAAAAAATTCACAGTAGGTATTGATACTAGAGTTTAGTTTATGTAGTATATACAGGGTATATGGTTAAAACAGGTTAAACTTTTTTTTTAAATCTGTAATAATCAGGTAAGATATCTAAATGATATTCTGTTATGAATGCCATCCCTGATTATACAAGTTGTTCACTAAACAGCATTTTTTCCCCTGAAATATGATTACAGCAATAGAATTCTAATATCGTCATGATTATATAGATTTTGAAGAGTTCTGACCAAGGTGGAATGATGTCAATATAATATAACTGATGGAGGACAGGACTTCTTATCATTAAGATATAAATAGTTACTTAATAATACAGTCAAACCTTAAGTTAAGGGAAGGACAGTACTTCTTACCATTAAGATATAGATAGTTACTTAATAATACAGTCAAACCTTTAAGTTAAGGGAAGGACAGGAATTCTTATCATTAAGATATAGATAGTTACTGAATTATACAGTCAAACCTTTAAGTTAAGGGAAGGACAGAACTTCTTATCATTAAGATATAAGTAGTTACTGAATAATACAGTCAAACCTTTAAGTTAAGGGAAGGACAGTACTTCTTATTATTAAGATATAAATAGTTACTGAATAATACAGTCAAACCTTAAGATAAAGGGAAGGACAGTACTTCTTATCATTAACATATAAGTAGTTACTGAATAATACAGTCAAACCTTTAAGTTAAGGGAAGGACAGTACTTCTTTTCATTAAAATATAAATAGTTACTGAATAATACAGTCAAACCTTTAGGTAAAGGGAAGGACAGGACTTCTTATCATTAAGATATAAATAGTTACTGAATAATGCAGTCAAACCTTTAAGTTAAGGGAAGGACAGTACTTCTTTTCATTAAGATATAAATAGTTACTGAATAATACAGTCAAACCTTTAAGTTAAGGGAAGGACAGTACTTCTTTTCATTAAGATATAAATAGTTACTTAATAATACAGTCAAACCTTTAAGTTAAGGGAAGGACAGTACTTCTTATCATTAAGATATAAATAGTTACTGAATTATACAGTCAAACCTTTAAGTTAAGGGAAGGACAGAACTTCTTATCATTAAGATATAAGTAGTTGCTGAATAATACAGTCAAACCTTTAAGTTAAGGGAAGGACAGTAATTCTTATCATTAAGATATAAATAGTTACTGAATAATACAGTCAAACCTTAAGGTAAAGGGAAGGACAAAACTTCTTATCATTAAGATATAAGTAGTTACTGAATAATACAGTCAAACCTTTAAGTTAAGGGAAGGACAGTACTTCTAATCATTAAGACATGAATAGTTACTGAATAATACAGTCAAACCTTTAAGTAAAGGGAAGGACAGTACTTCTTATCATTAAGATATAGATAGTTACTGAATGATACAGTCAAACCTTTAGGTAAAAGGAAGGACAGTACTTCTTATCATTAAGATATAAATAGTTACTGAATAATACAGTCAAACCTTAAGGTAAAGGGAAGAACAGTACTTCTTATCATTAAGATATAAATAGTTACTGAATAATACAGTCAAACCTTTAAGTTAAGGGAAGAACAGTACTTCTTATTATTAAGATATAAATAGTTACTGAATAATACAGTCAAACCTTAAGGTAAAGGGAAGGACAGTACTTCTTATCATTAAGATGTAGATAGTTACTGAATAATACAGTCAAACCTTTCAGTTAAGGGAAGGACAGTACTTCTTATCATTAAGATATAAATAGTTACTGAATAATACAGTCAAACCTTAAAAGTTAAGGGAAGGACAGTACTTCTTATCATTAAGATATAGATAGTTAATGAATAATACAGTCAAACCTTTAGGTAAAGGGAAGGACAGTACTTCTTATCATTAAGATATAGATAGTTACTGAATAATACAGTCAAACCTTTAGGTAAAGGGAAGATTATATGAAATGTTCATTGCCTTTGATACTGAAGCTTTGTTGATGAATTGGATATTTTTCACTGTACTCTTTTTTTATGCCTCCGCCATAGCGGAGGGGGCATTAAGTTTTACCCTTGTCTGTCTGTACGTCCGTCCGTCCTACGTCCCAAAATTGGTTTCCATTCCCTAACTTAAGTTTTGCCTCAACCAAATGTTATGAAACTTATACACAATGCTTATTACCACAAAACTCAGATCAGGTTTGAATTTTGGTGGCTTAACTTTAACCGTTCTAGAGTTATGCCCCTTTATAAATGGAAAAATTGCAAAATTTTTAGTTTCCGTTCTCTAACTTAAGTTTTGCCTCAACCAAATGTTATGAAACTTATACACAATGCTTATTATCTCAAAACACAGATCAAGTTTGAATTTTGGTGGCATCACTTTAACCGTTCTAGAGTTATGCCCCTTTATAAATGGAAAAATTTGCAAAATTTTTATTTTCTTCTAAATATCAAGTTAATTTTATTAAAATTGGAGTTATCTTCCTTTGTCCATGATTATAGTTGAATCAACTTTATACAATGCAATGTTTAATTTTGACTTCCACTGATAAAACACAGATCAAGTTGAATTTGGGTAGTGTCACTTTAACCATTATTGAGTTATGCCCCTTTATAAATCAAAAGATTGCAAAATTTTTAGTTTCCATTATGTAACTTTAGTTTGACCCAACCAAACATTATGAAACCTATACACAATATTCATTACCACAAAACTCAGATCAAGTTCAAATTTGGGTAGCGTCACTTTTACCCTTCTTCATTTGGGTAATAATTTGCTATATAGAAGTGCCCACTGATATTATAATTTATATAAATTTATACCCCCATCCACCACCCCTACCCCAGCAATTAAAGTTAAGGGGTATATGGAAATATGTCTGTCTGTTTATCTAGACAAACTTTTTTATCCTTTGTTTGATTCACTTTAAACTTTGTAGAATAAGTGATCATGTTTTTGATTCTGGCTAGTTTATCCCGAGTTATGCCCCTTTCACCTTGGAATTTTTACCCTTTTCAGAACCAACCTTGTCTGAGAAAAAAAATTCTCAGTCTGGCAGCTAGAGATGGAAAATATTCACACAAAAAGATTAAAGCAAAATTTCAGAAATAACAATAATATACACTCTACTGTGAAAGACATATTTATGAAAATGATTTTATTTGAAAACATCCTTAACAGTTTTTGAGTTATTACATAGGGTGAAAATACAATATGTCAAATCAAATTACTTGTAAATAATTAAAGTGTTTTACATTTCTTTTACAATGGAAAATTCTGTTAATGTTGATTATATTTTTATCGGTACTCCAAGGACTATTCAAATCAATTAGATAAAAGTTACGTTGGCTTAACATCTTATTGATTAAGCTATCACCACAGACGTTGGATCATTGGATCTAGTACATTAAACTCGGAAACTGCTATCTCAGAGTTCTTCTTCATTATTTATCTCTACTTGACGTTGAAATGTTGTTTGACATGTCTTGATTTTATTATTTGGCTTAACAGACAATAGAGTTACTGAGGGAATAAGAGAGATTAGGCATTCATTTATATGCATAGGATTTGATAGGAAGGAGTGTAAAGTGTAGATTTATAGTTAAAAAAAGGTAACAAGTTGTGACAGTGAAGTGTATATTACAGTTCATATGGGGTAACAAGTATAGACTGTTTTTTTGATGAGTGAATATAAATGTTCTATGGAGAGAAAGTGTTCTTTGTTGCTGGTTCATATTTAAATGTTGTAAAAGTCACAACAAAAAATAAAAAGCAAATCTTCATGGCATCATTAAAATGACAAAACAAAACACAGTAAGCTAAAGATGAAGTATTACGCATATAGCTGATTATACATGCACTATGATCACGCTGGTCACACAGTCATTTTAACACTATAATATAATCTCTGAATATAAGTAGTTCTTTGTTACTTATAATGAAGGGATGCAGCTAGTACTTTTGGGCCACTATTGGTGACTGACAAAGGACATAAAAATTTGCCCAAAAATCATTTTTGAGAATTAAATGATGCCCTGAAATGGACTGTAGATACAAGGACTGTGACCTAACTGTATTAGAAGTATCTTGCTAATTACTTAAAAAATCCTAATTTATAAAACTGTATACATACCAATGTTGAATTTTTATGCCCCACCTAGGGGCATTAAGTTTTTTCAGTCTGTGCTTTTGTTCGTTTGTCTGTTCGTCCGTCCGTCTGTCCCGCTTCAGGTTAAAGTTTTTGGTCAAGGTAGTATTTGATGAAGTTGAAGTCTAATCAACTTGAAACATAGTACACAATGTTCCCTTTTATATAATCTTTCGAATTTAAATGCCAAATTAGAGTTTTGACCCCAATTTCACGGTCCACTGAACATAGAAAATGATAGTGCCAGTGGGCAGGTTAAAGTTTTTGGTCCGTGTACTATGGACACATTCTTGTTTGCAGTACATTAATCTGTGCTTTGGTATACAGTTAGAAATTCAACTCAGATTGATGGGTTGTAGAAGCTTAGATAATAAAAAAAAATACAATGTTTGGGAAAGTTATTTCTTTAAAGGATTGAATTTATTGCTCTTTTTTTCTATTTAAC